GTTATATTTTTATATAACGAAAAATGAGTATTTCTTTTAATTGTGTATTTATATTATATATTTCTATAATACAATTATGTATTTCTATAGAAACTAATTATGAAAGATAATATTTTTTTATAACTCCCTTAGTTTACAAATTTTATATTTTATTTTAATAAAAAAAATCTGTGAATGTTTATGAATTAAAGTACATCTTTATATCATCTACGAATTATAATGCTTACATAGAAATTAAGTTAAAAAAACACATGAAAACAAGTAATTGTATTGCTATAATTCGTATATTTGTTATTGTTACGTGTATATCACTGCTAATAATATACGATTATATAACAGTTATGATGTATCAATGATTTGTTTGTATGATATATACGGACACAGACCAGTTAAGTACCTTGTCTGTGATACGGAGTTACCAGAAAATTACAATCCCCGTTTTGAATTTCCCGCGTTTAGTCGCGTAGTACTTAAATATTTCAACAGAGGATGCCTGTGGTATTAAGTAATAGAAAAGTAGCCAGTTATACATATCATACATCCGCATCTTGGTAAAATCTATTTGGCAATGCTTGAAGGCTGCATTGACAAGACTATTCCGGGTAATTTTCCACGTTTCCCGAAGCGTGCTATATAATTACTTATATTTTTCATATATATTCTCTGTTTCCAAGTTATCGAACGACTTTTATAACTTCCTGATGTTAGATGCAACATCAGTTTATTACATTTTTGTCTGTATTATTAATAATTTTATCTACTTTTTCTATTATATGAAATTACTTTCACAACAATTCAAGAATAATTTAATTTTACGCAGAAGAAAATATTCTGTGCTTGGCACGACGTTAAAACTTTCATAGTGTTAATACAGGAACGTATATTTCAAACAAATAATCTTTATATGAATTAATAAACTGTTATTTCTTCAAAATATGAATATTCAATCATACTCTGCATGCAATAATCTGTTACTAATAAATAATATAAAATTATGACTCTGTCGTGTCTGCATTACGGAGTATTATGAAGTTACTGTTAATAAATACTGAATCTATGCAATGTCGAAAATCTAGAAAAATTCCGTCAGCGTTTCTTGAGGATTCTGAGATTTCGAACTGTCTTTAATCAGATATAAACCTTTTTTTCTTACGGATAGGTCGCGCCACGCGTCCATTATTCGCCAAGGATAGGTAATCGGATACCTTAATTACAAGAGAGACGAAATACAAGGGACAATTCGAAGCAGTGCCAAATAGTACACGTGTGTTAATTATTAAACAATCGTAAATGTTTCTTACTTTTCATTATACTTCCATGAATTCTTATCACTGTATTAACGAGATGTTCTTAATACGAAAGTGATCAAACTAATGTCACCAGAATTACTTTAAGGAACATTATAATATTTGTGTTTTGTCGGATCAGTAATGATACTATTTCAATATTGTTTTGAATAGAATTTAAAATTGTATAAATATTATATCAGCAATTCTGTTTTATGATATGTTTTATAAATAACAACGAGAAATAACAGAATTTCGATGTTGTCCAGCGATACACGAATACATTATGTACCGCCATTGTGAAGTTTAAGCGCCGTTTAAGTGTCGCCTATAGAATCAAAGGATTTAAAATTCAAAACTTTTGGGTCAATAGAGCAACTATAGGGAATCATAAAAATGATTAAGGACAAATTTTTTCTTATATACGGTATTCCAAACTGGTATAGAATACAATAAAATTCTGTTAGCATATTTATGACGGCGAACTGTATAGTTTGCCACATCAAATTCTTTGTATATTTTGAGATAAGGATATAGTACGATAATAAGTCCCTTTTACGAGTTTAATTGCAGTTAGAATTCTCGAACATCGGACCACGTTCAGTTTTTTTTAAAAATGATCAGAGGTACATAGAAGAAACTACATAATTTAGAAGAAGTTGAATAACTAATTTAAGCTAATTAACACAATATTACGTAAAGCACAAGTTACTTATCATCATGATATTGTTGTATTATTCGCTGGTCTAATGTTTTTTATAGCTTCATTGAGTTTACTATCTCACTACATTGTTATCTATATACCAGGATAATTTATGAAACAAATTTTGTAGAGATTATACAACTCACTAGTGGACGTCTTCCAATAATTAATAACATTTCTTAAAGAAAATAATTTTCTACCACTTGTTCTGATAGAATGAAAGAAAACTGTTTGTTTCACAATGAAAACGTTGATAGTACGATCCATGTGCGACATTCAGTACTAGAATTTGTTGTAATTTTGAATAAAGCTGCAATGACGCCTTCGCTAGAATTGTTCACTGCAGCATACTCGTTTTTACTGTTTATTTCATTCATACAGTATTTGAGAAAAAAGGATATTCTATAAAATAAAACTATCGAATTATGAACAGTAAATTCTGAACGAGTTAAACATTCAAGTCTTAAATGTATTCTTTAATGTAACTGTGCATGGTACAAATAATACCTACATTTTAATAATTGAGTTATTCGAAGCGTATTGTGATCATATATTTATTGTACTTTCTCTTCGAAAATGTAACTTAACATACATTATTGATAAAATGGCAGTCAGATAATAAATTTATACAAAACGTCTGTATTTATATATGCATAGAAAATACGTATGTGTTGCTATTAGAATAATATCCAGATTATACGATAGAGAGACGGAGGAAAGGTTTCGCTTGTTATTAAAAAATTGCTATGAAATTATCGTGAGTAATCCCTAACGTATATATCTCCATATTATTAGAGAGCCCGGCCTAAGACTACGGTTGGCACAATGATAGCTTGCAATATCGACGAGTTTGTGTGCTAAGACATGCGCGTAGCCTCCAACGGTCTACTTGCAACTTTTTCCCGCCATTTTCTCATTCATTCTGGCAAAACCAACACTCTGAGTTTATTGCTTTCTTGATCCGTCCATTCGTCTATTCAGTTGCAAGTATAACCGCGTATAGTTGAAATTTGTTATAATTATAATTAGCCAACGTTCGCTGCTTCCACTAGCTCGTCACATTTGTCTTCCAGATTCTCCTACAATTACAAAAGAATCATGAAAAATACATTTAAAATGTTAAAGTTCAGCAAAATGTTGTAGTTCTTAATAGGACGTTCGAATTATTTTAAATATTAAACACGGTTTTTTAATTTATATAAAAATCTTTTCGTTTTATCAATTTTAGTCAGCAATGAATATCTTTATCGTCAACTTTTACATGTATATATGATTATATATGTTTTTGTAACATACGTATTTGTTTAGAAATTATTGAAGATAGTAGCAGACTTGTTCTAGGTATAATTCAATGGAATTTATCTCGAAACGTAATTATTTAATTAATGAAATATTATTTTGTTTCGTTTGTAAGTAAATAAAGAAATTACCTGTTCAAGCTGTAAACATTTACCCCACTCGAGAAGGGAAATATTATGGTCGTCATTGATGTCGCATGAATCGAGGAATGGCGCGATACAATGCTCCAGAGCCATTAATGGTGCCCGAATAGGGAAGAGTTCGTGCCTAGAAACAGTTCTGTCATGAGGGTGGCCGTCCAAATCACACCACTTCCAAATGGCAGCGTTGGTCCAACGCAATGTTAAATTAGTTTCCGCCTCGCGTTGCATTTTCAAGAAGTGAGAAGGCAATTCTTGGCGATCGGCTAAATCTCTCATGATGTTGAAGAGCCAGTCGCGCATGCGCCTTGGGAAGTCCGCCATGTCTTCTTCTTTGCACATCTGTAACACAATTAAATTATTACTTAAATTAATCAAAATTATTATTTTATGAAATTGAAATGTCGTAGGATACCTTATCAAAATCGTTTAGAGTTCAGAAATAAACAATGTTGATATATTAATAGGACATTTTCACGGAGATTTAATGTAAATTATACTTCGTATGAGATATGAAACGTAATAATAATAACATAGAAGTGTTAAAAGATGATGAAAGCGAATTATTTTACACGAGTAAAATGATGAAACCTATTCATAAATTATAAATTTCACTGAGGACAAGAGTAAAAGGAGAAAATACTGCAAAATTATCCTAAAATCGAGACAATAATATTCAAAAATAGGTGCCATTTTTTGAAATAAGTAAGGAATAATATTATTATAATATATAATTATTTATCTTTCCTAGTTGTTTAAGATATTTAAAAAGAGAGATGTGAATAATAGTAAAAGACTGTTGCTCAAGGAAAATTGCGGATGTTGCTACGGCGGAAGTAAATAGTGATTAAGAAAAGATGAAATATTACGTAAATTGTACAAATAAAGAGACGAGTATACAACTTAAAACGTCTGGCGAAGAGTTAAGATAATAAATTAAACAATCAACTACTATCTCGTACAATATTGAACAAGAGGAAGAGATGAGATGGGCGACATAGTCTAAGTAAAGAAGGGTGTGTCCGATAGATTCGGGCGATGTGTAACTTAGATTTAGATTATTTATTAGCAATTTAGGTAAGTATATATCTACCTATACATTACAAAGTCCAATCTTTTGATCAGAGGACTGTGAGTAATGAACTATTACTATAGTTGATTGTTACTCTTTATTTAGAGATAATTATTTAAAGTGCACTTACTTTACTTTATTTTCATAAGGAACAAATATTTATCTAAATCGAGTAACAAAATAATATTGAATCAAACGATTATAACAACTATTTGTTATTAAAAATTAAGCAAACAACGATGAATGTAAAATGAAGTTTTTCATCAATGCTGTTTATGTCATTCGTTTAACAAAGATACTTAAGCTGAGATATAAAATTATATATTATGTATATACATACGGACCCTGTCAGCAGTAAAATATCCATATGCAACTGATAAGATATCCGGTTACGGAGAATGTATTCTATTACACCTTTCATCGTTATTGATAACCGAAAAGTGTCTTAACAATATCGCCACAAACGTTATTATCAATTATTTCAACTGTGCAAAGTTCAAAAACATTCAACATTCAGTAATGTTTTAGCGAGAAAATGAAGAATTTGTATGCGAAGCCTTTATTGTATTACCAGGAAAACTGAAGATAGTCAAACGAAATAATTATTCCTCAGAATAACGTTAAAGACATTAACGTTAATAATTTTGCAATTAGTATGAAGTTTTCTCAACAAAGTAGACGGTGCGCATTCATTTAAGAGAAACGTTTGTTACTTAATATTTACTCTGTATACTTACTATCTCAATATTTAACGAACACCTGGCGTGATCCATGGCATATCATTTACTAAACAAAATGGTAACACCATGCGCCTTATGGGTAATATATGAAATACTTACAGGCATCTGTCGACATTCACCATAGTACACAATGTGAACGTGTTGATAGTCAGTGCCTCTGCACCTGGCGTCTCCGGTGTCACAGAAGCAACGCGCTTGGTGCACTTCACAGTCACTGCCGAAGGTTTCATTGTAATTCGTGCAAACTTTTCGTCTAGGGTCGACTTCTTCGTCGCATACGTCGACGCAAACGCATTCGGCTACGTCTTCGTCAACTACCTGTAATTACCAGTAACAATGTTCAAAGTAACTAAGTTTGTGGTTGCTAGCTGAATATATTACATCGATGTTAAAGGAATTCGAGTAATAATGAAATAACTGAAAGAGGTAATTTTTAATGAAATATCATGTTGTAAGCTTCCATGTTAGAACGAGAAGTAAATTCATTAGAATAATAGAGTAAACAATAATAGGTACAAACTGGACGACGTTACGTAAAACATTAAGCGCAATGTTATTTCAATTGAAGTATACGTTGCGACACCATTTAGCTACTTACATATTTGATCACGTAAAAACATGTTTCGTATCGATATAAATAGACTATTACTCAAATTTTTCAAACTGTATCATTAAGAACACGTTAAGAAATAAGACATATTAAAAGATGTAAGTTTCAATCCACTTCAATCCAGAAGTCTTAAAGTTTTTTCAAATAATAAAAGAATGACAAAAAATGTATTACATTTTGATAACAATTAAAATAATCTCAATGATTGTCAAATAATTTTCGTTCTAGCGACCATCGAATGAAAATGAAATCTTTGTGGGTATTTCAATGTCTAACCAAGATTTAACACTAAACTACCGGACGAGTCAAGTTGAGCCACTTGAGAATTTCTATTTTACAAGCATTTAAATTATTGCAATTTATATTATAAATTTGCGTATTTCTACGGATACAAAACTAGGAGACCCTTCGAATTCCAAGAAATCTATTGCTCTAATTTTTATACAAAATTGAAAATAAATCACTGAAACTGCTCGGTAGTTTTAATGTTAAAATATGGAAAAATTATTTTTTCATATTTTCATGCTGTCCTGTATTTAGTATTTCGTATTATTGAGCCGTTCGCAGGGAGAAGCAAGGTAAAGACGGGATCATTTGATTGACTCGAACGAACCTTGCAGACTCGTCCTGCGCCACAGTGTTTATCCATGCACGGGTCCATACGGAGCAAGCTCTGACGCTTCGATCCAACCTCGTTTCCACCATCTTCGACGGTGACCTCAGCGTCCTCCACTGCCTTCTCGGCTATTTCGTCAGCCTCGAGCGTGTTCATGACCTCATCTTCAACGGTGGCTTCCGTTGTCGTGGTTGTACGACGTCGATGTTTCCTTCGCCGCTAAAAATCAATAATCGTAACGACCCAACTTTTTTTTTTTGGTTTTGTTTAAAATAAACTTTGTATTCCATCTTATGAACGAATAGACATTGCTCGCCGCCATTCAGTCGGACGTAAGTCCATGAAAACTGAACGAAAAGAGCTTATGCATATGAGCTTTCCTTTGTACGTAAAAGGAAATGTAAATTGTGCGTTCATCGACGCTTTTAGCATTTAGATTGGCAGTGAAAGCTACTGCGCGAGCAATGATTAAAAATTAAATGGAAGGATCTTCGAATATTACTGGTAATTGTAGATATTTGGATTAATAGACGTATATTTTTGTATATTTAACTTATTAAATAGTGTATCACATTCTAAATGAAGTGGAATGTTCATTGGATTTTACTAAATTTTTTGCAATATTCTGTTTTAAAGAATTGTATTGTACTATAAGTATGCGAAACTGGAAAATTATTTATTGTAATTCAGTGGAGGAAAAATGTTGAATATTGGTAAATTGAATAAAGATTTTGTATTTTTAATATTATGTAAAATACGAATAATTAATTAATCGATAGCATAATTATTTTTTAATACTTTACACATAATTATTCTATGGAAAAGTATTTATAAATACTTATAAGTTTTTTAAACATTTTACAGAAAGTGCTTTTGAGATTGGCTGCCTTATTAATTATTTTATTCAGTTATTTTACCATTTGAGCTGACGCGTCCATCAGAAGACCCATCAAGAGCAACGCAAGTAAAAGGAGATGCAATTTTGTCCCCATCTTGATCTCTGCACATACAAACAATTAATTAATAAATATTATAAGGTATTGGAGTAGTCTTCAAAAAAGTCACTCTAACAAGATTAGTCTTTAATAGGTTAAATACTCTCTTAAATTAGAAATTATCCAATAACTTTAAACCAATGTGAAAGAAAGAGATGTACTCTGTCTTAGGATAAAAAGAAGAAAGAGAATCAATTTATAAAAGCAACGAGAGTGGTGCATTTCTTTGCGTTCTTCTTTGTTCCTGGGTGCAGTTTGTCGCAAGACAAGCACTTACCACAATTGTAAAGAAGAAATTCGTTAAACAATAACAAGTCTAAAACGTGAGACAAAATACATTTTGATAAAATTAGTGTGCAAAATGTCTAGGATATTTTTATCACTTATCGTAAAATATCTTATTTTTACTCATAAATGTTAACATTGTTGCAGATACTGATACATTTCTTTAGATAGTAACATATCTGAAAATTTGAAAAGTGGACAAGACTACGTCACTGACAGTTTAGAAACGGATTCAACGGAATCAAAGTGAAGTTAAGCATCATATTATGTACTTAATGTGGCCTCAATTACAGTCATACTTGACAAATTTCCATAATAGATTTATCTAAAATGCAAGCCTCGTTCGACAAGATTTTATTTTATATTTTCGATTCACTTTAGCCTGAAGAATCGCCACTCCCCTCGCCCCTCGTTTTATTATGCTATCTGTCACGCCATATTTCGCATACCACGTGAAATAAAATTATAATGCTTTATAAAGAAATACGTGTTTTGATTAAGATATGAAGACTAGAATGAAATAATAAAATATTTTTATAATTATATTCTTTATTGACATTATAATAGTGCATTTATTGAAATTTTATATTTCAATATTCAATCATTTTTTAGACAACCATTTGTATATTTTTAATAATTGTAAAAAAATTACGGAAATTGAAGAAATGATAAATGAAGATTCTCCTGGTTAAGGGATCAAAAATACCAACTTCATTGGAATGTTTTTTCAAAGACATAAATGATTTTGAAATTTAATACTATAAGGGGTGTAGTTTGAAGCAGACAAGATATGAAATTGATTACTTTTGAGCTGAGATAGAGATTCGCGATATTCTCTCTATAATCTACAAAAATTCTATTTAGGTTGGTGAAAAAATTCGAAAACCGAAACCACTTTTGATTGATAACGATCCTTTTATATTCCGACATTGCGCCTCGCTATACGCCGAGCCCCTTGATAAGAATAGAAAACGTGACATCAAAAGTGATCGAGACAAAGTGCTGGGCACACGTTCATTGCAGGTACGTACGTGAAACTTTAAGTAATAAATCAATGCGATTCCCTTTAATTTTTTATTGAAATCGAGAGTAAACATGATTTTCACTCACCTTTTTGTTTAGATTTACAGAAAAGTTTTTTAATTTTTACGATTTTTTAAAAAGAAAGTAGACAGTAAGAAAATTTGTCTGTTGCAATAATGTAAATACTGTGAGTTAAAGTTTAAAAAAGCAAAGATTTATGAAGGAATTTCGTGTACACCAATAGTTGGTATAATGATTTAACATTTTTAAAAATTGTTGATAAGATTGATTAATACACCAATATTAAGATCATTCTGATACAAATAGGTTTAAGTTTGAATTAATTCAAATTATTTTTAATTTCAAAGATGTCATTTAAAGAGGAGAATTTGGTAAAACTTATCATTATAGAAGAAATAGAAGAATAGTAGGAAAAGAGGAAACAGAGGAATCGTAGTAACTGTACGAATAGAATAAATAGAAGAAATAGAAGAAATAAAATAACACTTTTTAAATCAAATAATTTGCGAAATGTACAAATTTTCATGGCGGCATACATTTTTAACTGTACCAATATAATTTTTTAAGAGTTGTGCATATTATCTCCGAACGGAAGCTTCTGTCGGCTACGCGATCATTTCGGAATTCCGTTTTCCATTGTCAGAGTTTATCGTCTAACTAGAACGGTCAATTGAAGATTGTTCATCTTAGACAATTCACATTCACGATGATCATTCGCTTTGAAAATTTATTGTGACGTGACGTGCACGGTTACGGTACGGGTCAGCGTGGCCAGCGATAAATCTCACACATCTTAATGGGTGCAACGAAGCGATAACCTAGATATACTAAGAAATCACGATACATACTTTTTGAATACGCTCGTAACACGAATGCGTGTAATCGTGAGGACGCGATTCACTTTTCCGGATTTCTTGACTGCGTAAGTGCTTGTTACGACAAATGCCGATGATAAAATCTATTTATACAGTGTCCCTGCTGATTTCAATTGAACGATCATAAACGAAGGCCATGTTGAACTCATAGTCAGAGTATGAACGCCCACGTATAATTTGAACGTCAGTCATTTTGTTCCGACAATTATAATTTGTCCTTTACCATTACTTCGTATAGTAGAAATATATAATAATAAAATACTACTCGTATAGTAGAAATACAGTAAAAGTCGAAGTAACCTAAATCTTTTAATTTATCGTTTAGTATTTAAGTGATGAGGAAGACTATGTCTCTACATGTATCACATAGTATGTCGTTTATATTATGAAACAGACAAAAGATAAGAATGATCAAATTTATTGTAACTATATTCCAGAAATGAGAAAAATATATTTATTATAATAGAAAATTAAATTTCATTGGTATTTTGAAACCTATCCTACAAGATCTAACCAAGATAACTATTTTATCTACTTTCCTAAAAATCATTCTGTTTTGTAAGAAATTTAGCTTTAATTATTTATGTATTTACCCCTTTCTCGCAGGTTTCGGGGGAAATTTAGCTCTATAATATATAAAAATATTTACTTTTCAAATTGTTTTGGGTAATAATTGTAAGGCATTAACAGAAATGCAAAAAAAATGTGTAAAAAAGAAAAAGAAAAATTTTGTATGTCTATGGAAAATGGATTCGCGTTTGGCTGGTCGCGTGAAAATATTCATTCGATTTTGACATTGTTGCGAAAGAGGAATTGGAAATAATAGGATAATAATGGCAATAATACAAGTCTTTATTGCAGTATATTAAACTGTGTACAGAGAGATGTAAATGTATCTCATAGCTTACAATTAACACAGCTCAGCTGTTGTTAAGTTTAATTCGAGTAAAAGAGAGTTTATGAAACAGCTTTTATGTATACTACTTGCACAGTCTTTTTACTTGAATAGACAGGTTCTGAATAACGATAAAGATTACACAAATTAATAGTAAGTATACAATTGAAAATAATGGAGGAAGAAAATTCACTGACGTAAAAAATACAATTTAAAATTTCAATTAATAGAGAGACAATTCTAGAGGAATGTTTTTATTATAATTACTATATTTGATATCAGTTAATCTATTATTTTTATTTTTGCTGAACAGAGCCATGACTTTTACACCTACAAGCAAAATAGTTTAATTTAGTAATGATTAATTAATAAGAAGTTTTATTTTGTCACATCAATCACTTAAGAAATTTCGTTAATCTAAAATCTTCGTTTTCTTAATTTTAATTGTTACTACATAAGTATATAAGTAGTATAGTAATTTTTACTATATAGGACCACTCTCGCCGAAACTCTTTTATTTGCTCACATACGAAATTTTTTGTGACTTAGAAACTAAAAAATAGAACACGGCTTCCTAAGTTTCTGTGACGGGCATACTAAATATAACTTGTTTGGTTTCTGCGTAAGTCTTCATTGGGTTTGATTACATTTGTAGCGTGAAATTGCTGCGAAACGTTAAACACAGGCCTTTGGTACCACGCCATTAACCATTTTACAGCATCATCTATTTTTTTCATTTTATCTTCAAAGAATCTTAAAATCTTTTTCTTATGGTATATCTTTTGAAATACTTCGCAAATTTCATGCTATCGTTATAAAATTCATCTGATATTGTTAAGGTTTCTTTAATATTGCTGGGGTGTTAGAGAATACTAAAAACAAATTTATAAATTTTGTTCCATTAATTAAAACAAAAAGAATGAATGGAAGACTTAATTAATCAAATTGTGAGAATGAAAATACGCTGCACGTAATATTGTACATTATTGATATTTTTCAATATCTACATTAGAATAATTTAAAATTCGTTGCACGAAATATAATGAAATTCTATATAATGAAATTTAAATAATGAACTCGTCGAAAAAAAGAAGCCAAAGCAAAGAATCATTGAAATATTTGATAAACTGTTAACCAGTTAATGACTTATATCATGAATAAATAAGTCAAGACGAAGTTTTGCAATTTCATTATTGAATTTCAGAAACAATGTTTCTTGAAAGACAAGAAAACTTGAAAAACAATGTTTCTAAAAGTGTGACTAGAAGCTTTTAGTTTGATTGACATTGAATGTCTGCCACACTTGATTCCATTTGAATTTAAGAAACTGTAATGGCCGACATTGAGACTGCAGACTACCATGGCCAATTTGTAAACACCAGAATTCTACTGTAGCGAAATGAATAAATCTATTTCATAAGCTATTGATTTTTGTTTCACTTTAAAAAATTTATTCCCATTTAAGTTATACTATTTTAAATTTTATATTTGGGAAGAGTAATTTATTTTTAAAAACAATAATGTTGAAGTGATACTTGATAATATTATTTCTTAATATTATTATATATCTCTAGAGTCTGTTAAATTTTCGATCTTCGTAGCTTCTTCAAGTTGATAGTCATTCGTCTGCAGACAGATCAGGTTTCATAAAATTCTTTTTAGCGAATTTTAAGTGATATTCAAAGCGACAAAAGAATATTTAGTTTCTATCTCCAGTTATCATCAAATCCTTCAAACAGAATAAAAAACGTAGAGATCTACAAGAAGGAAACAAAGATGAATGATGTTCATCCTAACTCATGTAGATACATTGCATACATTCCTAGAAGGAATGTGTGTCCAATTATCGTTTCCTAGAAATCTGTTAACCCTAGAAGACTGTCTTCCATTGCACATGTGTTCCATAACGTTATAACTTAATATGCTCTGTTATCTTCCAAATGATCCATGAAGGCAAAGGTTCAGAAGTATGCCTCGAAGAAGAAGCATGTCCTGAATAAAGTTTCACTTTCACTTTAAAAACTGTTTCTCCAGAACATTCCTAACCCCTTCTATAATATCGAGTCAGATTCGCAAAATAAATGTTACTTACTATTATTTATTATTATTGTTTATTTATATATCATTACTATTATTTATATATCCTTCATATAAATTAAATATTAATCTTCTATTAACAATCTTTAACCTTCAGAGTAAACGCAGACACAGAAAAATCATTTAATTTTCTTTTTCCACTAAATTATCAACGATAAATTAGTTTTATCAAGCGTACATAAACATTTATTAAGGAAATCAGAAGACAAGGGGTGAATAACAAGATTGTTAAATCAAAATATCAATTTACATATTGCAAAAATTAGAATCGATTCGTTCTAATTCAAACAGGCTTTCAAGACTTGGAGATTTAATTTCGTATACAGATCATTAGAGCTTGAATTTCGATTTTATACGTGTATACAAGTTAATGCTTAATGCAGAGAGTGTTACAAAAATAACATGAGATTTCCAAACTTGCCACTACAAGAATGTCAACGAGCAATACAGTTTATGAAGCGAGGGGGCGAGTGCAACGTAGAAATCGCGGTCGACCCTGTTTTTATCGCTTCTCTGATCGGCGCCCACGAAATCGCGTAACCGTCGTCACGCGAAATTCTAAGGAATTTCACTCTGTTTCTCCTCTCTTTCTCTCTTTCTCTCTCTCTCTTTCTACTCTTCCTCCTCTCGCGGCAGAAATTTTCCAATTTACGATTTACTGACAAGACTTAATGAATTTTTACAGACGCGACACAGTTTCGTTCATTGTTGTACTTAGGCAGGACATACCTACCTAAAATGCCGGATGAAAGAGGGATTAAGAGGTGAACGGTGTAAACGGATCATTATAATTTTACATTATACAGCTATAATTTATAATACCAATGAATTTTAGTTTATTGTAATGGTCTAATGATTTAGACCATCGGTTATTTTTTCTTGTCGTTCATTTATTCGAATTTTAATTTAACAGATCCCCTTTTGAATATAATAAGGGGATATTTACAAATTGTTTATTAACCGACAAATGTTTGTTCTGATTTTTTTTAAGTTAACGAGTAATTTTTTTAGTAGGAAATTTTGACATTAATTTTCATTTAATTTCCTTGTCACTGTCTTTTCATTATGTTAGTAACTTAAGATTATAATTTTTTCACGTTTTATTTAATATTTTGATATATTTTCCTTTTACTGTTAATTATTCGATATCCAAGAACCTTCTGTTATTTCTCCTAGACAATAATTCGTCACTTTGTAATGCGTATTTATTATTAGGTAAAAGATTTTCAAACTCACTCGTGACTCCTGCTTACAAAAACAAAATGGACTATTTACGTTCCACGTGAGTACAGTTTTATAAACGAAATAACATTCACATCCTACAGAGTAAGGGGATGCCCAAGAATAGACGAGTGTTACCAACATGATAAAAAAACGTCTAGTACCGAAGTTACTGACACTTCATACAGAAAAACCAATTTTAAATTCTATGTTGTTTGTCATTGTAAAACTTTTAATCATTTCACTTACCACTAATATTTTAATATTCTTCAATTATACCTGTTTACTGATTAACGATATCATTAAACGAATGAATATACGTAAGCTAATTCATGAAGTGGAAGTATAATTTTCACATAATCACAAATCGTGGTAATAATATGATTTTTAAAGACGTTGTACTTTTGCTAATTACTAGAAAATTTTGAACGCGATAGATCCCGTGCTTCGCGCAATTTATTCCGTTCGAATTAAAGATCTTTTATTTCTGGCCATTTCTAAATGTCTAACAGGAAAATATGATTTTGCTGATCGTTGAGGAATTGATACAGATATCGCGTGTTACCTGTATGCATAAATTCGAGAACTGTATTCAAGGACTGTCCAACGTAAACGATTTTACCGTGAAAATTGGTGAGTTAGGAAGTTAGTAAATTTCACATAAATACATTAAATGGTACATTCGAAAGCTTATGCATTGTGCATTTAGCTATATTAATTTTTTATATCTTATAAAAATGCATTATGAAATATTCTTAAATGTTACATTATCGTTCCTGATTCTTGTGGCAAATGTGTGCTATAATTATTCAATATAATCTTTCGCGATGCGACATCGGATATTTTGATAATATTTACAAAGGATGTTTGATTTCCGTTCTAAGAAAGATAGTTTCCGACCAGATAAATTAATTGTGACAGTACGCCCACTATCAATGGGTTTGCCAGCTGTATTCTTATTCATCTTATGAGACCAACAAGAACTCATTCATCAGTTAATTAAAGAAATAGATTTGCGACTACAGCGTAACTTCCTCCTTGAAGACGGAATATAATTAGGTAATTATCTAGGGAGATACTCTTCCATATTGGGACTCTGGTAAGAGCAATGCATTTCAATCAACATTTAAATATAGTAATAACTAATAATTTGATTTAGAAATTGAATATATTCAATTCGCTATAATTTCAGTATAATTTTAAAGTACTTGAAATTATTTATACTTAGTAGTTAAAATACTACTAAATATAAATACTTTTAATCGCCATGAAAAAGTTTGAAGGAAAACGTATTATAAATTTATTTATTAATGTAGATCGCTTAACCGATAACGTAAAATAAATAAATATTCTTGTGACGTAATATTAAAAATCTGGTAAAGGAGTTTACATTCGTACAATGGAAAATTGAAATCGCAAAATTAATATTCAACATCTACCTGTATAAACAGAACATCCCACAGTCACACCAAATCTGAGAACTTTTATTATCATACAAAGGCACTAAATTTGTCACACTGTCTAGAAAATTGACAATCGCGATAAATAGGTCCTCCTATTTAGATAATTTGGTAATTACGATGGGATGAGACAAAATTCTTTTGACGTAGAAATAATCTTTGACGAATCATGTTATGTATCATATTTTTAAATATAATATTGTTATTGTTCATTAATTAACTATCTACAAACATCGTCTTCAATTACATAAAATATCTACATTCAAATCTACATCATCTACATTTAAAATCAGTATTAACACTTTGTACTCGAGAGTCACCTTTCAGTCGCCATTTGATTCGACCGAGCAAAATTATAAAATTTAAAATTTAACATTAAATTTCGTGTAATATATCAACGCATGGAACATCGAACTAAAATAATTCTGTCCCTTAGTTTATGCAAGATATTTCGTTACGTTAATTGCCAAAAATATCATTGACATTTCATCAGAAAATAATGAATATTTTCTAAGAAGAATATTTTTGAATGCAAAGGGTTAATGTAACGCAAGATTGCCGATTGATTGAAATTCTCTCAAAGACATTGACACAAGTTGGTCACGTTTCTTATAGATGCTTCTAATCATTGCTGAACGATGACCTACTGGTTACGTTATTTTCAGTCGTCTAGAATATGTTACACTGTATCACAATCAGCGAATAATATATTATCAGAGAAAAAGAACACCAGAAAGATTATCAAATCTATTTTCCTTAACGAGAGACACTACATCAAACAGTATATTCTAACTTACCATAAGCTTCAGAGCAAAAATGTTCTTTAATCGAAGGAACAAATAATAATAAATCTGGTGATTCCATGTAACAAATTTTTAGTCTCAATGTTTTTTAAACAAAACAAAAATTTTAATATTTTAACACGAAACTTAATGCACGCTGGTTAACACTAGAAGTACCGAGTAATCAGCTTGTCTTTTTCAAATTTCTCTATAGAAACTTTATGACTTATAATTCACTTTGCTTATTAATAAATCAATTTCATTAGTGGACTACAAATTCTTAAGCAAATTCAAATTTTCAAGAACATAATTAGAATACAATTACGATGGAAAATAGCATTTCGCACTTTCTTTCCCATGAATGCATAAAACGCCATAGTTTATTTACTAGTAACTTCTTTGTGAAGCATTTTTTATTTTTTTAACACTACAACGAGCATCGTATTACCAGGAAAGTCATTAATGTCAAAGACATTAATGTTACAAATTTTGCAATTAGTATGAAAAGATATCGAGATAATATTTAACAACCTTATAACAATTAGGGTTAACATGTAATCATTATGTAGATTGTAACAATACATTTTTTCCGAATTTCTCCAGACATTCATTATAGTTATTAAGTGAAGCTATTCATTTAATTTGACAGATTTGGTATTTGTTCTAGCGTTAATATCAGAGGGCTCTATAAATAAATCTCCCCCAATAGTTCTTAGCGGTCGAGCCATATTTGTAATCGGCACGGCGTTTATGTTTTTTTTCGTATGAAAGTGCACACCTGTCCGGGCGCAATTACGTACCTGGAGCCAAGACCGACTCTTATTTTGTTCCCGTGGTGATCAAGCGCTGCGGCGGCACCGTCCTTTCTCCAGCCGTTTTCTGGAACGCTTAAAAGAACACTCCAAATCGGTCGCAGGACCGGTACTGACTACACGAGCGGCGGACTCCGCGATCACACAGCGGCCGAGCAAAGATGATCTCATCGTTTTTCTTTCTTCTGACACCCCCGTTTAATCTTTCTGCCATATGTACTGGTTCTCGTTCCCCTTGTCGCTTTACGAGCGAGAGACTGCAACAAATTACGTAACGCACTGTCCACGAGCCTGGAAGATTCTATTTAATTTTTTTACTTCGATTCTTTCGGATGGTGATCGCTTGAACTGGTGATCCAGTTCGGAATTGGACGGAATGTAAATCGGTTAAAATGTGGCATGTTGATTCGATCGGGAATTAGTTTTCCTAATTGCCGATGATTACTAATTTGTAACAGTTGATTCGATTAGGTATAAATTCGTGTAGTCGTAGATCGTTACTAATTTATGGTAATTGATTCGACTAGAAATTACTTTTTGTAATCGCTGGTCGTTACTCATTTGTAACAGTAGATTTGATTGGGAACTAATTTTTCTAATTGTTGGTCGTTATTCAATTGTAATATTTGATTAGATTAGAAATTACTTTTTGTAATCGTCGATCATTAGATACTAATTTGTAGCAGTTGAGTCGAATAGAAATTAATTTTTCCAATTGTTGATCATTACTAATTTGTACCAGTTGTGAAGATTAGAAATTACTCTTTGCTGTCGTTGTTCGTTAGTAATTTGTAATTTGAATGTAGACAATTGCTGTGAGTTCTGATTAACGATTACAAGAAGCAAGTTACAATCGAAAGTGGTCAATTTTAACACTCTAAAACTATCACACCCCTCGAAACGAAACATTTTAGCTTCTAAAAATGATGAAATTTACAATTTGTTATATTTCTATTTTATTTCAAATTTAGAATTTAAAACACAATATTATAAAAATGTTTATATTCTATATTATTTAAAAAATCAGAATGTTCATTTATATATAATGCAATGAACGTTGCACATTGAAACGTCGAAAGATGTAATCATATAATTTTTATAAATAGTTACACGTGAAACATTTTAAACGGATTACATTTTGGCCAATTATACTTCGGTTACTAAATTTTGATAGGATGTTTGAGACACATGAAACGCACATATTGTCCTAAATACAGAGTGTTTTATTTATCTTGTTCACCTATAATATATACCGGATGTGAAAATATATCACGAATAAGTCTTTTATATTTGCATACAAACAGTATATTATGATACAAATCGTTTAATTCATCTTGTCCATCTAATTCGAAGTAGGAAATCAATCTCATCGAAATTATCGATCTCGTGTAATTCACGTTTGTTGTGCACCATGAAAATACATAAAGAAAGCAGGAATTATTGATATTAAGTATGTATATATGTATAAGAATGTCTATTCACATTTCGTTCAGCTAACAACTACATGCAGGAGGTTTAATTTCTTTTGTTCGTGGGCAGGGTGTTTCATTTATCCCGAAATCTTAAATTTTAATATTAACATCGTTTCGCGTGTGCTTTTTTTACAATTACCAAGATAAATGAAACACCACGAGCGATTAAGGTGAATGAACAGTCCCATGGATTGATTGAACAAATCTCTGAAATGTCTCGTAGATGGAGAAGATAAATATGGAACATCTCGTTGGTGAACAAAATAAATTAAACGCCCTATGCACTAACGATATATAGGTATTTGTTGAACTATTGCTTAACCATTTCTCACGAAATAAACTGTACACTTTCATTGGCAATAGAAATGACCGTTCTTCGTCAATCGACAAAACTAAAAGCAGTTTCTACGCTGTTCTTCGAAGATATCGATCACTTTCACTCTACAAAACGGTTCATCCGATTCCTGTTGTGTATTACTCTTCGTATAATTTACATGCACCGCAACAATCGCTAAAAGTATCATCGATCACACGTTATCGAACTCGCATACACAACAGCGAACCAAAAGTCGTCTATGTATACGCGACTACCTTTGCTATTCACCAAAAAATTTCTAAAGAAATGGTAATGCTTCAAGACAGATTAAAGAAAAAAAACTGACGGGACTTGGTAGTAAGGTAGGTATATTATACTAAATGCAAAAAGTTACAATACATTTGACTTTTGTTTCTTGTCATTTTCGTTTAACATTAGTTTTTGTTTGTTTTGTTTGTTGCCTTGTTATTGTTGTTGTTGTTGTTGTTGTTGTTGTTGTTGTTGTTCTTGTTGTTTGTCGTCATCGTCATCGTCGTCGTAACGTTCTCCGCGATTGTTTACACAGAAACTGGCCCGGCAGACCAAAATAAAAATGTATGCTACAAAAATTCACAACTTATTAATCGCCATCCTCTAATTATTATATTGTTATAATTATTTGTGTTTCATCGTATTCCGTCTCTCCGCTCATTTATATTTATTCCTCTTATTTATTATTAATATTATCATTATCATTATCATTAATATTATTATCATTATTAATAGTTACTTAAAAACGAAAACATTCACACTAAAAATTTGCAGCTTTCGTTCAAGTGTAAAGGCACGGTCCCGCGTGGCACGCGGCTTCCGGGCCTCGCCTCTCGAGGAACATCGGATGTTACGCTGAACACCTCCATACCTTCTGAACGGAATACAGGACTGGCAACATCGTTTAATCAAATATATAAAAATTCCGAACACTCGTCACCATGTACTCGGCAGAAAGTACCGCAAATAAATAATTCACTATTTCGCTACGAAACACTTTCGTCATAGTAATATTTATTTGTGTGCCCGCGGTTCCTCGAGCGAGCCGAGTACCCGGGACGCGCGCGCGCCAGGCGTCAGGAACACGCGAAGCCGCGCCTTCGTCTACGACTGAGATCGAGCAGCTTCATCGCTACGATACAAAAGCAATGGTTTTTAAAAGAAACGCGACAAAATATTTGTTACACCAAACTTTCGCGAGGAGTGAAGCCCTTTATCCTAACTAAGGAGAAGATACGAGTCACAGTCGGGAAAAGGACAGGGGGTTAAGTGACAAGGTAATATGTGCAGAATACAACACCTGAGGCGTCGTAGGACCAGCGATGACTCTGCTACATCCCAGGCATAGTATAAATTGTAAACGCATTCGATTACAAACTATTGCGGATATTCGAATGTAGACTACGTAACAATTTCATTTTTATTTTTCTTTCGTCTCGAAATGGATCTCGGTAAGAAACGTAAATAATTACTTCTTTCATTTTATTTTTTTTCATTTTTCTCTTTTTCACACGTTCTCAGCCTTAATGTCGTAGCGTCTTGCGGTTTAGTAGTTCGTGCACTTTTTCGCGGTGTATTTCCATTTCTCTTTTCTTCTTCCCCCACCTCTTTTAATCTTCTTCGTTTTCTTTTTTCCTCGCGTTTCTAATTGATTTACCATACCATCAGCATATATTATCCTTGTCGCCTCTGCTCTTTCTCTCTCTCTCTCTCTCGTTCTCTCG